TCGTCGCTCACGTCGCCGAGGAGGTCGTCGATGTGGGAGATGGAGTCCTCCGCGGACCGCACGGGGCCCGCGTCGAGCGACGCGACGGACGACGTCGACACGGGCGACGTCGCGACGACGGCCTCGGCGTCGACGTCGTCCCCGGCGTCGAGCCGCGCCTCGGCGGCGGCGCGGGCCTCCTCCTCGGCGGCGGCGCGGGCCTCCTCCTCGCGGGCGGCGACCTCCTCGAGTCGTCGTTTCTCCGCGGCCTCGGCCTCGAGACGCGCCTGCTCCTCGGCCTCCAATCGCGCCTGCTCCTCGGCGGCGACGCGAGCCTCCTCTTCAGCGGCGACGCGGGCCTCCTCCTCACGGGCGGCGACCTCCTCGAGTCGTCGTGTCTCCGCGGCCTCGGCTTCGAGCCTCGCCATCTCCTCGGCTTCCAATCGCGCCTGCTCCTCGGCGGCGGCGCGGGCCTCCTCCTCGGCGACGGCGCGGGCTTCCTCCTCGGCAGCGACGCGGGCGTCCTCCTCGCGAGCGGCGACCTCCTCGAGTCGTCGTTTCTCCGCGACCTCGGCCTCGAGACGCGCCATCTCCTCGGCCTCCAATCGCGCCTGCTCCTCGGCGGCGACGCGGGCCTCCTCTTCAGCGGCGACGCGAGCCTCCTCCTCGGCGGCGACGCGGGCATCCTCCTCGCGGGCGGCGATCTCCTCGAGCCGTCGTTTCTCAGCGGCCTCGGCCTCGAGACGCGCCATCTCCTCGGCCTCGAGACGCGCCTGCTCCTCGGCCTCGAGCCGCGCCTGCTCCTCGGCGGCGACGCGAGCCTCCTCCTCGGCGACGGCGCGGGCTTCCTCCTCGGCAGCGACGCGGGCCTCCTCCTCGGCAGCGACGCGGGCGTCCTCCTCGCGAGCGGCGGCCTCCTCGAGTCGTCGTGTCTCCGCGGCCTCGGCTTCGAGCCTCGCCATCTCCTCGGCTTCCAATCGCGCCTGCGCCTCGGCGGCGGCGCGGGCCTCCTCTTCCGCCTTCAACCGCGCCTCCTCAGCCTCGCGAGCAGCGACCTCCTCGAGTCGTCGTTTCTCCCCCGCCTCGAGCCTCGCCTGTTCCTCCGCTTCCGATCGCGCCGCCTCCGCCAGCTCCGCCGCTTTGCGCCGCGCGTCCTCCGCCTGGCGCTCGGCCAGCTCGACCTGCCGCCGCTGCTCCCGGGCCCGCTCCTCGAGCCGCGCCTCCTCGGCCTCGAGCGCCGCGATCTCCGCGCGCCGCGACCGCTCCGTCTCCTCGGCCTCGCGGCGCGCCGCGGCCTCGGCCTCGTCGCGCCGCCGCCGGTCCTCCGCCGCGCGCCGCGCCTTGGCCTCCGCCTCGTCGGCCTTGAGCTTCGCGAGCGCCGCGTCGGCCTTGGCGCGCGCGGCCTCCATGAGCCCCATGGTGGCGTCGCGCCGCGTCGACGCCGCGGGCGACGCCGCCGGCGGCGCCGGCTCCTCCTCGGGCTCGTCGTCGGAGAAGGCCGCCGACGCCGCGCGCGCGAGCGCGTTCGCGGTCTCGTGGTGCGGCGAGTGCGGCACGGTCCGCGCGAGCGCCCTCAAATCGTCCAACGACCGCGGGCCCTGCTTCAGCAGGCACGACACCTCCGACGCCGCCACCGCCACGGCCGCGCCGGCGTCGCCGGCCCACTCGCGCTCGACGACGGCGCAGCCGACGGCGAAGACCTCGAAGAAGGCCTTGGGGTCGTCGTCGAACGCTCCCCAGAAGAGCTGCTCCGCGAACGGCGCGTCGCGCGGTGCGCCCAGATCCAGGAAGTCCGCCAGGGCGCCGCAGAGCCCGACGGCCGCCGCGCCGACGGGCACGCCCTTGCGGAAGAGGGCCGCCAGCGTGTCCTCGAAGCGGTCGCCGAGGTCCACGAGGCATCGGACCACCAGAAAGCCGCCCTCCGCCGCCTCGATGTCGGGGTTCGACGTGGAAAACCCAAAGTCCATCCAGGTCTCGGACCGCCGCTCGAAGGCCCGGGGGACGGCGCCCGTCGCGGCGCGGCGCGCCGCGGACGCGGACGCCCAGAGCGCCGCGAGCGCGGCCTCGTAGTCGTCGTTGCCGGCGACGGCTCGCAGCTGGAAGTCGCAGCGGAGCGCGAGGAGCTGGCCCAGGGCCCGCTTCGACGGCCGCTTCGCGTCCGTCTTTGGTCTCGCGAGGCGGCTCCGCGCGGCGCCGGCGGCCGCGGACACGTTCTTCGCGGCGCTCGCCGAGAGGCGCCGCATCGACGCGTACCAGGAGCCCTTGCGCGCGGGCGGCGGCGCCTTCTCCTCGGCCTCCGACGGCCGCCGCACCATGGACGGCGGCGGCGCGTTCATGGCCAGCGGCACCTTCATCGTCGGGTCCAACGCCGCCGCCGCGAAATCCGGCGGCGGCGCGGAGCCCGACGCGCCGTCGTCGTCGTCGTCGTAGCTCGCGCGCAGGTTGACGGTCCGCGGCGGCTCGGCGCTCAGCGCGACGTCGAGCTCCGCCTGGGCGCGGGCGAGCTCGGCCTCGAGCTCGGACGTGATGCCCGAGGGCGGCGCGCCGAGGCCGTCGAGGTTGCGCGTCGCCGCCGCGAGCAGCGCGCTCGGGTCCGGCGCCGGAAAGTCGGCGAAGTCGTCCATGTCGTCCATGGCGATGTCCGCGAGTTCCATGGTGCGGCGCCGCGCGCGCGACGTCGACCGGTGGTGATGGTGGCCGCCGATTGGGCTGCCTCGAGGCGAGTCAAGTGAGCTCACGACTGTGGCGACGCACAGCCAAAGTCCCGCCTGAAGAACCGCATGTTGGCCTTGGCATGAGCTCTAGCCCGCGCCAGGAGCCCCACGGAGGCCCCGCGGCGGTCCCGTCCGCGGCGCATACATCCTACGGAGCCGCGCGGCGATTTTGGGCGCAGGAAACGGCGTGCGCGCGACGACGAGCACTGCCTCGGAAACGGCCCCCGAGAGCGGCTGACAGCGGGCGGCGCTGGACGCGTCGGGCGGTCGCCGCGGGTCCGTAAACCGTCGCGGCGGTCCGTCCATGTTGCGCATGGATGCGGCGCGCGCTCAACTGCGTCGGCCGAGGCCGTGGTCGTGGTCCGCCGCGCGGCCGAAGACGGGGCCCGACGACACGTTCGACGCGCGGACCGCGACCGGATCTGGGTGATTTCATGTCGGCGAAGTGGCTCGTGCAGCTCGGCTATCACTGTGGGTGAGCCGTGGCCCACCGGACCCCGTCAAAAGCGCCACATCAACGATCGAGACCCCCGAACCCGTTTCGAGGGCGGTTTCGGGGGCCGCTCCACGGCGGTCGGCGCGCGGGGGTCGTGGTCCACGCGTGAGGACTTGATCGATTTCGCGGCCAAACATCTCCACGAAGCGATCGGGGTCCAGTCTTCGGGTCCGTCTGGCCATGTCTGGCGCCCGCCGGGCGCGAACGTGGCCCTCGGCGCACGTCGCGCACCCGCTCGGTGGCGGCTACGCGGCGCCCATGGGGGCGGCGGTGCGAAGATATGGGCTCTGAGCTCATCATGTCGATGGGTGAAGGCCGTGGAGCACTCATTAGCGCTGGACCCGACGTGGTTTCATGCGGCGTCGGAATCGCACGTCGACGGAGTCGGTCCTAAACCGACACGTTCGCGCGCGGCGCGCGGTCGCACTTGTGCTCCAGTCACGAGGACATTGGCGTTATCGACGCCCCAGACGGATACCTTTGCGACGTGAGAGGCTTTCTGAGGTCGCTGCGGTCGCTTTGACGGCACGCGTCGCGTGAAAAATCTGTCTAAAACCCAATATGGCTCCTGGACGTGTCACCACGGCCTGAATTCCTAGCCTGCGCCGCGTTTCTTCGTCTCTAGAGGCGCCCGGGTACTGTCGCCGAGGCTCGGCCGAGAGCCGCCCGCTAGAAGGCCGAATTACGAGGTAGGTGCTCCTCCCAAGCGGAGGCCGAACACACACGAGCACCAGATTCGCGAACGGGACAAAAACATCGTTGTCGCTGGAAATTCTTAGCCGGAGGCCATGTAGATCACATGTGACGACGCTCGCGCGCTCGGGCTCGTTGCCGTCGACGTTAGTGACGAGAATCGCAGCGGCAGAGATCATTCGATAGGACTGCAGTGTGTGGGGTCCGCGATCCACAACTCCAACACGTCTTCCGAGGTCACACGATGCTTCCGGACCGAGTTTATGACCCACCGGAGGGATGTGACCAGCACCACGAACGTGTGGCGCTCCAGATGCCGGCGGTCAACGCGTCGGGAATGTCGTCGGCGCCGAGGTTCGGCCGCGCGCGCAGTCACGTTTTGGGCCCGCACGCATCGAACCAAGCACGCGGAATGTCTTACATGGTCACCAAGTCCACGCACAAGGCCCAGATGAGCCAGGAACAGCTTTCCTGACGTGCCCGATTTCGTGGCTGGGAGAGCACGAGATGGAGGCCGTTATTCACGAGCGTGCGGCGCGACGACGGCGTCGTTTTGAGCGGTCTCAACGGCAACGCGTCTCCGTTGGGTACATGCGCCGCGGATAGAACCGGCGCGGGGTCCTCTGGGGGCGCACACGGGCGGCCGCGCGACGCTGAGGAGCGGCTCTCCAGGTACTGCAGGCGGCTCAGCCTCGGACTTTGGGTGTGCGACGAGCGCTCGGCTCCGACGCTTGGCGAAGACTAGTCAAAGCCGCGTCGTCGTCGTCACCATGGCAGACGCCCATGCCCAACGTGATGCTCTACAAGCGACGCCGCACCACGATCCGATCGTCGACGAGATGGGGCCGCCCGTCGCGGGGTTCCTCGGTTTAGCTTCGGCCACTCGCGCCTCTCGCGTCTCGAAGGCGTGGCGGCGCGTCCTCGGAGACGACCTGGCGCGGCGACAGCCAGATACGCTGCAGACCTACTGTCACGGTGACAATTTGCTGAAGGTGCCGCTTAGACCGGGGAGCCAGCCGCGCGTCGACTTCGTCTACAGCGCGTCGCCGTTTTTCGAAACGGCGTTCGATATGATCGCTTGGCAGCCGCAGGTCCTGATCGTCCAGTGCAACATTGGCGAACCCAATGAGCGCAAGGAACGCCATTTCCAATTGTTGATGGATCTCCTCCGCGGTCGCGTGCCCGCAGACTGCTACATCGTCGCTTCGACGTCTCGATCGCGGCACGAAGACGTCTACCACGCTCGCGGAGACGTTGAGAAATTGAGACGCCACTGGTGGCCACTTCACATGACCTGTGTTATGCTGCGAGCGGCGAAGTCGATGCCGCGACCGAGCGTTTTGGCGCTCCCGGCGCACTCTTGGGATCAGTGGAATACGCCAATATGGACATTCGGCAACAACTCTGAAGGCCTCGTCCAACTCCCAGACAGCCTCGATTATCGGAGAACTCCATCTGCAGTCTTTGCCAGAGGGCGGGTACGTGGAAACTTGGCCAGCCGGTTATTTCTGGCTGCCTGGCGCCGCGAGCTCCATCGTCGGCGACCAATGCCCTTGAGTCGATCCCTGGCCTTTCGCGCCACCCTGAGATCGTGGAAAAAAAACGTGAATTCGGAGGATGGTAGCGGCGGCATGGTAGCGGAAAGCGGCATGCTAGCCGGCAAACCGGCGGATCTGCGAGTCGTGAAGTGGTGGTTCCTCGCCGTCGACCATCACGGAGTGCCGATGCCCCGCGAATACGATTCGGATGAGATGGCGCGGGCTATCGAGCCGCCGGCGGATCAGATGCAAACGGATGGCCCTATGTCGACGAATTTCCCCTTCTATCTGCGCGGAGAGCGAGAATTCGCGGCACACAGATGGTTCCGCTTCTGCGAAGAACTACGTGGCCTGCGTCCGCGCTCACCTAATCCCAGGACCTAGCCCCACTGGCACACGTTCGCAGTTTCCGAAGGGTACTATATGTCATAACGAATGAGCCGCGTCTTCTCGCGGCGGGGCGAGCCCAGTCCTCAGGACTTCTGCATGGACCAGTTGGACTCGGCCTCCTGGCCGAAGAGGACGATGGAGATGGTGCCGTCGAAGTCGTTGCCGCGGACCGTGCCCCGGAGCGTGTGCTCCTGGGCGCCCGAGTAGACGCCGCGGGGCGTGAAGCGGTTGAGGCGGAGCGTGATCTCGACGGTCGACGAGAAGTCGTCCTCGGCGACGACTTTCCAGGCGCCGCCCTCGCCCTTCGAGGGCAGGACGGCGACGTCGCCGCCCGGCTTGAGGATGCAGAGGGGCTCGCCGTCGGCGGTCTGCCACTCGCCGAGCATCGCGACCTCGCGCTGGTTTTTGAGGTACGCGGCGAGCTTGTCCGCGGCCGCCGCGCGCTCCTGGACGCGCGTCGCGCCCGCGGCCGTGAGCGCGGCGATCTTGCGCTCGTTGCGCCACTGCTGGGCGCCGGCCTGGGCCGCCGCGCGCGCGCCCATGGACGCCTCGCCCGCGGCCGCGAGCGCGGCGATGCGCTCCGCGGCCGCGAGCGCGGTGAAGGCGGCGTCGGCCTCGTCGCCGGAGTCGATGCCCGCCGTCGCGGCGATCTCGATGGCCTCGCGGAGGTCCGCGACGGCCGCGGCGGCCGGGAACTGGCCGCGCGCGCCGGCCGCCGACGCCGCGAGGCGCGCCCTCGCGGCCTCGACGGCCGCGAGCTTCGCCTTGGCGGCCTCGACCTCGACGCTCGCGGCGCTCACGCCCGCGGCGGCGGCGGTCTCGAGGGCCGCCTCGAGGGAGTCCGCGTCGCCGCCCGCGGTGGCCGCCGCGAGCACGGCGATCGCGTCGTCGACGGCCTCGACGTAGGCCTCGCCGGCCGCGGCCTCGGCGCAGTCGCCGAGGCCCAGGGCCTTGGCCTCGGCGAGCGCCGCGCCGATGGCGCCGACGTCCTTGGCCGCCGTCGCGGCCGCGAGCGCGGCCTTGGCCGCGGCCTCCGCCGCGGCGGTCGCCGCCTCCGCCTCGAGCGCGGCCTTGGCCTCGAGCTTCGCGCGCGCGACGGACGCCTCCTCGGACGCGCCGTCGACGCCCGCGGCCTCGGCGGCCGCGAGGGCCGCCTCGATGGCCGCGGCGTCGTCGCCGGCGGAGGCGACGTTCAGCGCGTCGAGCGCGTCGGCGAAGGCCTGGACGCAGGCCTCGGCGGCCGCGACCTCGGCGGCGGCGACCGCGGGGCCGAGCTTCGTCGCGGCGGCGAGGGCCGCGCCGATGGCCGCGACGTCCTTGGCGGCCGTCGCGGACGCGAGCGCGGCCTTGGCCTCCGCCTCTTGCTCCGCGGAGACCTCGACCTCCAGCTCCGCGGCGGGCGCCGGCGCGTCCGGCGCCTTGCTGACGACGCCGGCGGCGGCGAGTTTGATGCCAAAGTCGGCGAAGGACGTGACGCCGTCGGCGTCGCAGGCCGCGCGCCACGCGGCCGCCGTGATCTCGCCCGCGGCGGCCCCGGTCTCGAGCTCCGCGAGCGCCTCCGCCGCGTCCTCGGCCTGGGCCTTGGCCTGCTGCTGGAGGGCGCGCGCCTCCGCGGCCTGGTCCGCGGCGAGCGCCGCGGCGGCCTCGGCCTCATTGATCGCCGGCGCCGCGATGACGCCGCCGTCCGGCGCGACCATGGCCTTCTTCTTCTTCTTAGCGTCCATGGACACGCTGCGCGCCGGCGACGCGCGGCGCGTGTGCGACAGGAAGCCGCTGGCCGCGGCCAGCAGGCCCAGGAGGAGCGCGCGCGCGGATACCATTGCCGAACGAGACGAGCGACGAGCCAAGTTGAGGCTTCAAGCACGGCGGAGAGCGCCTCGTCACGAGCTCGATACGGGCAATGCTGCTGCTCGTATCCGACCTTGCCCCCGGCCGAGGCTGCCCCGGCGTAACGGAGTGACACAGAGAGCTCTCTTGCTAGCTCTCGTCGTCGCCCATGGCGGACCTGAGCAAGCGGCGCATGTTCTGGGGCGGCGGGCCGGCGGACGGCTCGGCCTGCTTCGACGGGGCCGCGAGCCCGCCCGTGCCCGGCATGACCGCGCCGCAGCTCCCGAAACCGAAGAGCGGCGGCGCCACGCCCGGCGGCGTGAGCCGCGAGTCGTCCGAGGAGGGCAAGACGGCGGAGGTGCCCGTCGCGCGCGAGCCACCGCGGCCCACGCGGCCCGCGCCGGCGGCGCGGCCGAAGCGGCCGTCGCGGCCGCGGTTCGGGGGCGCGGTGCCGATTCTCAAGCCCGCGGCGGCGCCGTCGCCGCGCGCGCCGCCGCCCCAGGACCTGCGGCG